TTGTTCGCTTAGATAGTTATTGCGCCAGGAGTCAATTCTGAACCGCTGTTTGTTATTTATGAATATTCTCTAATAGATATACGAGCTTCCTGTAACAAGCTTTGAAAGATATATATGTTCAGTCGCTTGGCGCAGACGTTATTTATTCATGTACTTTATATGCAGTCTAAACTTCTACGTTTTTGTGAATAATTAAATTATAATAGTTAGCAGAGTATTAACTTGCATTTCTAAACAAAATACATGTACACTTTCTTTATATTATCGATAGTGTTTTTTATAAAAGACTATTTGATATACTTTCACAGAGCTTTACTTTAAATGGGCATTGCGTGGTAGCCACTTTAAAAAGTGAGTTTACTTCACTTACCAGGGGCACTTTACGATCTTCTCCAACTATTCTGGACTTACCTGTCCATTAAAACAGTGAGGCCCGGTTTGCGTGGCCCTACCACATTGAGACGCGATAAAATCGGAGCCACAGACCAAATTTTGGGAGCCGGGACATTCCCACTTTAGCTAGCTCTCCTGGCCCCCATGGCCATTTTAGTTTTTGTTGGTGCGGTGATCACGTGACGTAAGTATATGCGGACTCGAGTGACCAGCTTGATACCTTAATCCATTCTCGTATCGGCAATAATAAAACATAAGTAATTGAGAAAATTAAACCCGAGTCGCTTCAATTAAAATGAAACGTTTTCAGTCGAGTTTACGGAGCAGCAGATGCAAGTCTGTTTTATTTCGTTTAGTGACAATTTATTACTTCGATAAGTTAATGCAATGTGGGTGTCTTTGGGGACGGGGTGAAAGGATTTTAAAGTACTTGTGTTTGCTACACTTTATATGTGAAAACACATAGGGCCATATAATATTTCCTGAAGACTAATATAAGCATAAGTAACAAAATCGCAGCATTAAATTTTTTCTAATTTAATACAATTTATATTCGCTGTTTACGAGGTCACTTCAAGTTTAAAACGGCCGGACGCAGAAGAAACGCAACTTGAACTTTTTTTTTCAACACATTATTTTTATTACATTTTCAAACTTTATTTTTACGGACTATCCTTCAAAGATCATTTGCTCCTCGTTAACCCTATTTCACAAGTTCAGGCTACAGAACTAGATTCGTTCGCGTAACGTCACTCGGGGAAAAAGGGCGCTACAAATGATCGCAGAGCGAGGCGAACGGGCGGGAATAATTAAATGGTAGCTTGTAAAAAGCGTGCTCTTATATTGTATAAATAGCTTAATTGGATAGTAAAGCGGGGATACTTTGAAACCCGAGCGGTCGGATAAAAGGTTTAATACGGCGGTGGGAATTTATCCGCCGCATTTGTATCCGTCGCTTAAACGATACCGACACGTGGGAGGCGTCGCTCTCAATCTTGGCTGGCTATTAACGTACTATCGCCTGTCCCCGTCGCAAGATTGAAGTACCGTGACTCCAGAAAATTGGAAAAGAAAACAATATACGTCATCATCATCATTCTCCCGCCCTTATCCCACCTATGGTCGGGACAAAATAAATCTGTTAAATGAAATGCATGCTGTAAACGGTTTTGTCTACGTTTTATTACGACCCGCCCCCTACCTGACTGGAACAATTATCTGTAGGGCACACAAACTCGTGTCCCGTGTGGGATTCGAACACACGACCCGCGTCAAAGCATATACCTCAGCAACTGCGCCACCGTGCAAATACTTTAATACCTTCCCGTCCAACCATCGACAACTAGACCCTCAGATCTCCGTTCCTTTGTTTTCAAAAAGCCTCGTTCAAGCTAAGAGGTTATCTCTTTGTTCGTAATGCGCATAAAGAAGGAACAACTTGCCAGCGTCTTTCCGTTGGATGAAAACAATGAATGTCTTGAAGTATAACGTCACGTATATCATCAGATAGGATAGAGGTAAAGTTCATGTCGGTTCCCAATAAAAAAGAAACACTTTAAGCTCGTTGTAGGCGATAAGGTTCACCAACGAACCGAATAAGCCAGGTACAACGGGAATGTGATCGGTTATTTCTGTCTAACCTGTATGGGGGTGCTGGCTTGATAAAATACGAAACTCACACAAGAAGACAAGCGGCAGATTGACCATATATTATATGCAAATGTTAGATAGATGATTTTTCAGCCCCAAAACTGGAGTTTGCTTAGATACAAACAATCTTATTCATCCCTTTAAATCTTGTTCCTTTCTTTTTTTTCTTCTTCATAAAAACATTCCTCCCATTTTACGATAAGACTATCCTGTGCGTAACATTATTTAGCTTTTCTTCGCTTACAAAAAGACTGCGAAAGTGTTTATTCTACCTCATCTTTAATCTAGTAAAAGGCCTACAAGTAAATCATCTACTTTAAAATAAACAGAACTAGGGCTTCCTTTGTTTATGAAACAAAACGCTTTCCAAGAAGGGCCGTAATTATACTGTCCATAAAAAAATTACTTCGCGACGTTGGAAAAGTTTTACGAGACCGCTACATCGATTGTTGTTCGTAGAAAACCTTTAAAACAAACGTAAACATTTTCAAGTATAAATTATCAGTCGGTCATCAACATTAAACATTGGAAGTAAGGGCGGCAGAGTTTACGTCGACGAGTAGTTTTAACTCTGCTCCGAAACATGTAATCCATTTGTAGTAATGATTCGACATATAGTGATTTTTGCACATTGAGCCTCGAAAAATGTAAAAAAAAACATAAAGCTCCGGAAGAAATTATGTACATTGTTATTACAGCACGTGCCGCAAACGAAGTTCGATCGACGGAAATTAGCTCCATCATAATATGATTATGTATATTAATGGAATGCAGTGTGGCGACCCGCGAGATGGACTAACCACCCGTCCAAACTCGCTGGACTTAGCTGGGTGCAGGCCGTTTAAAACCGATTGAAGTGAAAAACCCTAGAAGAGGCATAAACCTAATATCCATACTAATATTATAAATGCGAAAGTAACTCTGTCTGTGTGTCTCGCTTTCACGCCATTACTGAACCGATTTAAATGAAATTTGGAACTCTGATGGTCTAGAGACTGAGAAGGGCATAGGCTATTTTTAATTGGAATTTTTTTAAAGAAAGATATTTATTTAAGGGTTTCAACGCGAGCGAAGCAGCGGGCGAAAAGCTAGTGCTATATATATGAGCCTAGTATAATTCACGAGCATAGGCTCAGCAGTGCCCGCTTACAGGCTGAAATGACGATGATGATTAATGGACAACGTTGATCGATATCAACTGATCATAATATGATTAACGGACTAAGCGGTTCCCAACTGAGCTCGGTCATTCTAGTCGCAGGCGAATTCTCGGCATGCGTACAACCGTACAAGTAATTCAAATTAGTCTCATCGGCAATAGTGCCATTGATAAAGCAAATCGTGGCACGTGCACCGAATAAGCTGCTATCTCGAGTTAGGTTCACTTGACTAATTAGAGCCCCCGTCTCGCCACCGTACCCGCAATCAGTTCTGCTTTTCCACCTTGTCCCACCGAATTACGTCTACTAAACTAGTGCAAATTATAAGCGAGGGCGGTTTTAATTATACAATGTAACATTTTTTTTTGAAGTGAAACTTCTTTATCGGGGTTGGAAAAAAATTTTGTGTAACATTTTTCCGTTACGCGCCATCTTTTTTTTATCTTAAAATGTTCCTCTAACGCCATCTAGTGTTGAATATAGTGGTTTTATTTCGTCTTTATTCTTTAGTGTTTAATAGTCACGCTAGATGGCGTTAGTCTTTGTGTGTTCATAGCAATATATATATATATATTATATTAAAGTGATCAGCAAAATCAAAGGGTTTATTTTAATTCTAATTCTAAAATGTAAACAATATATTTCGTATTTCAGTTACCATAAGCCATTAATAACACAAATATATAATAACGACATCAATGATAGTAATAATTCTATTACAATTAATGAAATTCAATAATAATCTTTGTAGTTATGACAGTGCTAGCTCTAATACTTCAGAGCACGACACTGTGTCGACTTCCTCTTCTGCAAAGGCAGGCACCGCCCACCGTGACCTGACTGCGCCTTCCACGGAAGACACAATCTGAAGCTGACCGATGATGCTCTTCGAAACCTCGATCCGCTCATGGAACTTGCGGTTGCGACGTCGATCCAACGTCCGCAAGTTCGGTTTTCCAAAAAAACTTCACTCACAACACTTGCGCGCGAGTCGAATGTCTGACTTCTACTCACTTGCTGAATATTAGGCAACGAAGGACCTTGTACAAATTCAAAACGGTTGTATTTTGGGTCTGTGAGGTTAATTGAAATAAACAAGGTTCACGTTGCAAGTTTTTTAATCAACAATTTTTGCGGACCCTCATACTAATTACAACGGTCAAACCATAGTGTGTTTTAATTTATTACTAACGCCACCTATGTATTACAAATAAGAAACTAAATATTATACAAAGCTAAAATGAAACAATTGTAGAATTTATATTTATGTCTATGATAATAAAAGCCTTTTATTAAACTTTATCTAATTTAACTTTATTTAACCAATTTCTGTAAAGTTGCATATAGTAAATTATTTTTTGAAAAATAACGTCATAAAAAAGTTTCACTTCTTACGAGTGTACGCTAGTACACGCACACTTTTTTTTTTAAATACTCGTATACTATCGTTAATATTTTTAATTAAACAGTTCTAGAACGAGTTTCTTTGAGAACTGTGGGTAGATACAAAACATTTCGAAGTAGGTTAAGACAGTGCTACGACAATGATTTTCGCACGTTACCAAACACTTGTTTATTAAAGCTTCTTCTCGAAGGCTTATAGAAACATCGACTACCACAAACATCACTCGGATAAAATATATAACTTAATGAGAACATCTAAATACTGATGACATGATATACCATTGATAAATTATTTTATATATTATTCGTAGCACTAGTGTTTTTAGTAAATTTCTGGCTGATGCCGATAAATCACTGGTGTAATCAACACGTGATAGACTTAACGCATTATCACACGGCTCGCGCAAAACGCTCTGGCGAAAGCCCTGAAATTCCCAATCCGCGAATATAACGCAGCGCACCCGCTAGCCTCTTATTATTCACGCTACGTCGCTCTATCCTCCTAACAGACGCCGGTACGGAAATATAACTGTCCAAACAGACGAGATCCCCGGCTGCGCATTCATCTTGCGGCCCCCGCTCCTTAGCGCCGGCAGCCGCGGGGGGCGGGGCGGCTACAAATAAAACGGCCTTGTGTATCTTTGATTATCGACGTGGATTCAAATCGTTCGAGGGGGGGTTGAAATCCATCTCGTTACTACGGTGTGCGCGCCGATTAAATTATGTAACGCGCGACGGGATTACGTGGGCCGTGGATGGAGTAAAGTCGCGCCCCGCCGGGACCACAAACCGCGTGAGTCGTCACCGAGGACACGGGAACGCGTAACCGCCGAGGAACCTTACTGGAGTTCGTTAATTAAATTGACGTGTAATTAATTATATTTGGCTAATTTGACTTTAAAGTAAGCTAGATACAGCGAGCATATTGGCGTTCGAAATATTGTAATCACCGCCTTTTCCTTTATTGTAAAACAATAAAGGCGTGTGTTTGCTCCGACGGATAAATACTCAAAGGTACTAGGCCGCCGATTATTCCTTTTTAGAACTACATATACGACAAACCATTAATTTACCTTCGCCTGGCACCAACTTAATCGACCTCAATTAAACAACCCTCTAAAGTTCATTAGACAGGCCGTAAAAGCTTTTATCCTTTATTATTAAAACTAAATTGAATTTTAGTTAGGCATCGATCAGATGGCAACCATTACCCTGCTACCTTCTCCCGCTAATTTTTCAGGTGCTGCGATTATATCTAGCCTGAGTGCTATCTAGAAATAAACGGAAGATCAATAACGCCGCGAAGATGGATAGCGGCACGTCAGGCAAATGCTACGAAACAAGATGATAAAGGAGATAGCTAAAAATAACTAATAATAAATTTTAATCTGTGCAAACTCCATGGCAAAGTAAAGTTGTATAAAATAAGACAGAGTCACTGTTTAAATACATGCCACCTCAATGTAAACCAAACTCAGCCTACATTCCTCCACAAAACACGGTTGTCTTTTAATATTTTTTGTTGGTTCCTTAGATATGAATAATACCTCATACACCAAACTTAGTATACCCAATGGGTAGTATATAATTATGAAAGCGCGTTGTAGCATTTCTTACCATAATGTCGGTATGAACCCGCGTTTCTTAAGAGCCAGTCTCCGTAACCTTAAGTGGAGTAAGACATTACAGTTAAACATAAACAAATGAACACTTGATTCAAGATCACATTAACCAAACAAATCACATTACGTCTATTTTTTTTTTGGTGTGAAAAGTTTTCAAGTATACAGGTTCACCTGATGTTAAATAAATATCCACTCATGCACATCTACAGCACCGGATGGCTGGCAAATGTGTAAATATTTGACAACCTTTAAAAAGGTCGGCCCCGGTTACCTCACTTGCCAGAAGGAACGCGTAAGTTTAATACTTCTACTTCAAGCCGGTTTTCAGTTAGGACATGGTACTCGTACTTTCCTGAACAAGCCTGCTCATTCATGCAGCAGGAAAAGCTGGTGCGTGGCCCTGCGACAGTGAAAATTTATTGGTGGTTGATATTCAAACCATAGATATTATTATGACCTAACATATAAAGGCTCCAATCATCATAACAATTAGGGACGTGTTTTGTAACGGGAAATATTATGTTTCAATATTTATTCCCTTTATATATTTTGTGTCCAGAAGATGTTTTTTTCCCCAAAGTTTCATTTGCAAATTGTAAACATAATTTACCTTTAATACCGTTAATACCGATAAGGGGCCTCGTATTTAGATATTTTGGCATTTAGAAAATGTCGGACACACGTGCGTTGTATCAAAAATGTCACGGTATATGAAAATGGGTCACAATTTATCATTCAAAGCTTTTGTGTTTATTATTAAAATTTAGTCATAAGTCATTAGTCTTCGAAATAATTCGATATTTTATAAGGAGTAAGTATGGGTATATGGCAAGCGAAGTCTTTAAAAGACTAATTACACGATTTTACTATGCCGATGTAGCGATGACGACTACTTGGAAGGTATAGTGTAACACGGTTCTGTATTGATCATATATTTAAAACTCGGTCACACAAGATCATATATTTAAAACATATTTCCTTGTTGAGTGGTCGTTCTGCATCTTCCCGGGAAGACAAACAAATAAGAAAAAACATATTCTTCATTACAACGCAGATAGTAAATTGAAAACAATAGATATTCTTATTTTCTTTTCATTTTAATCCTAATTAGTTTTTATGTATATTTGTTATTTCTCTTTTTTTAATTAATTTGTACAAGACAGTGCCTACACTGTTACATTTTTTCCATTAATAGCCACAATTTTAAGTGCGAACGCATTATAAACTTATTTATCATAAAAGACAAAAAAGAATACATGTTATATGATTAGTAAAGACTATACGAAATTAAATGATGGACAATTACGGGGAATGAAACTAACATATAACAAGTCCACGGTGGACTCGGCCGAAGATATAATGAGTGAACTTTTCCACTTATAGTTTTAGCTTCGAGAGTGTTTGAGAGATATAAACAGGCCGAGAGAGAAGAGCGACAAAGTTTTCGCAAATCGAAAGAGCCTTGTTACTTAACGAGATATATCTCACGGTGTAACTAAGACACGTACCGCGCTAAATAGCGAAGATTTAACCTAAGTCTAACTTAGTAATATTGATAAACTGTTTTGCTATATCGTTTTCCAATATCCCGTCTGTTTCAGTTACGTTAGCATCGCTGGTAGTAGACGAGATTACACACGGAACAAATAATTAATGGTCTAACGAAGATTTTTCCCGATACGAGTACAGGTGTTGTGTGTAATATTTACAAAATTTCTTCACCTTCGGCTAGAGAGTTGAATATAATAAAAAGGAACTAAAAATTATCCCACGCCAATAAACCGGCAAATCGCGGAAACAAAAAAATAATTCTCATTTGCGTGTACACGATAAAACAAATAACAAGATGGCGCCCCAAACTTTCCCGCGTTTTGTTGACAAGAGAAATTAATATAAATAAGCCCGGGTGATGGGATTTTGCGGGTCGTAAATTGTGTTTCAAATGCATTTGATTAAATTTGGCATGCCCGGGAGAGTCGAAGCGAATTACGAGTAGGCTGTTACACCGCTTGTCAAAGCGTCAATTTTATTCGGTACATCGACTGTATAGAGTTCAAAATAGTAGCGACATTGCGCAAACGGTTTATTACTCGGAAAAACACGGGGTGAGCTAGTTCGGGCCGGTAACACAATTAATATCAATTTAGGCAGCTGGAGGGCCCTCATACTTCTACTGATGTAATAATACAATATTTTTTAGGGCAGACGCAAACGTAAAAGCAAAGAACATTTTAATTGCTAATCTTTTAATATTTAACTATTTTTACAGTCTTGGGTTTTTTCCGGCGAGGTACATAGGTACAATTAAATTTTATACACTTGGTACTAAATCTAAAATTTAGTAGAGCTTACCATTTGTGCCAAGAAAAGCAAGACGAATTTTAAAGAGTAGCTTTTAAACGCAAGTGAATTTAGGACGTGTACTTATGTAAGTCCACATTAGAAGTTATACTTCTTTAGGGTAGCGAAGAAAAATAAATAAAAATTTTATCCCCTGAGCCAGTACCCACTCTATGTTTGTGAAAGAAATAATGTTTTATTTAAAAAAGTTGGAATCATAGGTTATCAAAAAGTTGTTACTGGTTGCCATAGTCATACCGTGAAGTTGGTCGTTGGTTCATCATTTCGCTTTTTGGCTGCTGGTCTGCGCGCGCATCGTAAAAATTTAACTCTCATATCTTTTTCCAAAAGCGGCAAAAGAGGTATAACTTCAAAATTCTTAAGTACGGACCCCATTTGCATAACAACTATCAAATATGAATTATTAAATAATTAAAATAATAGAGGAAAAGAAAGGCAGTGCTACCTTTTGTTTTCGTTTTAATTGATAATAAGGCAACGAAAAATTAAAACGGTAAATTGTTTAAAAAGAAAAAATGTACCTGTCTAAATGTTACGCACAAAGGGAGACAATCCCCGAATTTTTCCGTTAATATTACAAAGAAACAATGTAGCCTTTGCGTCTATTAGCGATACTTAGCGTAACAGGAGCGCACCTCGCCGAAATGAGGACAAGAAAAACGCGTAAGAGCGGCTGACATTCGCATAGCGAATGATTAACAAAACACACAGAAATGAACCGGGAGGAGCGCCGACGAAATATAATTATTTTCGCCGCCGCGTCAGCGAGCTTCCCGCTCTAGCCCAGCAAAATGGCGGACCAAAATGGCGGCCGAATGAAGCGCGCGGTGTCAACGGCGTGGCGACATTATGAAGCGAGGACACGACGGCCGACAGCCGCTAAGCCTCCGAGCTCCTCTTATTTATATTTAGAAGGAAGAAATGCGACGGTAACAGGAAATTAATTTTCATTTTTTTACGCTCGCCCTTGTTTAAGTTCCAAGCCTCTCTGTCGCAATATTTGCATACTTTGTACGAGCTTGTTTTTTTTTTTCATCGTAACGGGCATTATCTTAGAGCGTCGTTTGATGTTAAATATTAATCTAAAATTGCCTAAAAGAGAAAATTAAAAAAAAAAAAAAAACAAAACGATTACTGTTTCGAATACACGTTTTAACAGCAAATACATTTTATACTAGCTGATGATTTTATTAAATCAACAAGCGCTATCACTAGCCAAGTTTACAAGACTTCAGTGCACATTTAGGGGCTATTATTAAAATAAAACTGATTTTTGCACCACTTATCGACATTATTTTACCAGTACCGTACACATCATACCACTGGTGCTGGCGGCGGTGCCGATGGTGCGAAACTTTAACAATTTCGGTGATCGCGCGACTCGGCCGCCAGGGAGTGCAACGGGCCAGTAAATAAACACAGGGTGTACCGAAAACCCGGCGAGAGTCATCCAATGCGTCACCGCGTCACCGGCCGCATTAATATGTATGAGCATCGCGGCCGATTGTTGTTAATGCGCCAACTTTATACAGGCTGCTTTTATTGTGTTGGGGTGGGGATAACTTATGAATTGTAGATTGATAGACGGTGAGCTAAGTGATATAATAATAAACGGGGCCGATTGAATCTGTTTCGGAATGCAAGAGTTAATGATAATAGTTCAAGCAATAGTAAACAGCGGGATTTATATTACAATGAAAGTTTAACTACTAATTGTTGATGTAACATCAAACACAATCAGACTTACGATATACGGAGAATATAAGTTTTATATACTTTTGATATACGGGGAATATAACTTTCAACATTAGAAATTAACACTAGGAATACGAAAAATTCGTGACAAGACTGGGATCCATGGGATATTCCAGTTAAATTTCCAAAAATCACAACGGATTAGATTATTTTTTTCAGTTTCCCTCTTATAATAAATAACATAGCTTTGCTATATCTTATTCAATGAAACGTACCATAAAGAATACCGAGATGTCGCAAAGGTAAGACTAAAATTAACACGGGTACAGCGTGAGGCGATTAAAACACGACACGGAAAACATAGAGCTCGGAGGCGTCAAGCGAACTTGACGTGTGCAGCGTAGGTGGCTGTAAAACAAAAGCCTCCGGGAATAATCTAATAAATCGAGTCGGCGCCATTCAATGACAGACGTGAGCGAGCAAAGAGCATCGCCAGCCGACACCGGGCCCTGTTGAACTTAATTAGTGCCGCATAAAAGCATTCCAGCCTAATGTGCCAATGCAAACCTATTTATTCAGTCCAACTCTGATATAACTGAAATCTATTTAGGGCTCCCGTATAAATGCGCTCTGAATGTTTGAACGGAAACTGGTAATCGAGTCGGATTTTAGATTCGCCCCAATTAAATGATTCGTCAACTAAAACACACAATGTACAAAAATGACAATGACATCGTAATATGTATGATTGGGTATTTTAATATTAAGGCGCCGAAACACGATAGAAATTAAGTTGCAATTATATTTTCATGTAAATATTGATAGAATCTTTAGAATGCTTTATATTATTCAATGAATTATGATGATTGGTACCTTTTTTGTTTACCGTTAATCATCCCAATTAGATTTCCGAATGAAATAAAATTCCAGATTCCATTTTCAAAAACGATTCATCTTATTCTTATCACCATTAGATCTGCAAGCACTGAATCTCAATGCGTTTTATATTCGAATGCCCGTACAATGGATTACCTTTGTACAACTCAGTAAATCCATTATCCTCAAGTATCAACGCATTAATAACCCCCAAAAGCAACACCCATTCGACATGGGGAAGGGACAAAAGAAAATCAGCGCTTTCTCCTCGAAACTTAACGTGCACTCACCCCCCTATAATTAGTAGACGGTATAAATGCATTCGGCTGCTAATGGACGTTTTGAGCCACCCTCACTGCAATTGAGTGACCTGGGCCTTTCATTACAGCATTCACTCCTCGCTGTTTCACTTTGCAATAGCTCCTGCTATTCTGGGAACTTATGAATTAGAACGACCAGGTATAACCTATATGGTTTCGTGTCTCGTCGTACAATTTTCAAGCGGTTTGAGACAGGCATTAGGTACCGTTCGCGGGCGCTCGTGACATGAAATATTAAACAACGATTTTGCACGTAACAAATAACGGAAAATCTGGAGCGTGCCTTTTGAATTGAAGAACTGAGATTAAGTGAGAATTGTCATCTTCATTCCAGCTAGCGTTCATTGGAAAATTCGTAAATTGGTGCCGGGCTCTAAAAATTTTTTATCGATTTTAACTAAATTGATACAACTGATCATGACATTACTCAATAAAAATAACCGGAATAAAAACGAAAAATGTTTTCATCAAATGATGTCTCTTTCATTATTAAAATTCCAGCTACCTTCAATCACCTATTTTCTCACCAGGTTAGCTGGCAGAGAACTCATGTATTGACTTAAGCATACCTTTTTTTTTGTACATTACTTTCATTTTCATTATTTTTTTTGTATCTTGTGTTTTGTGTACAATAAAAAAACATAAAAAAAATTATCAACACAAAAATCTGCGAATCACGTTTAATTTGTTTCTATGCATCTCGGGATTAGAGATCTATGTAAAATGAGCTGAGATCTTAACAAAGTAGACATTGAAAATGATGACAATAATTCAGGTTAACTATGAAATTCTCATATAAAATAGCTCAGTCTGATTCGTGACAATGAACACTATAAAATGTTCCACAAACAACGAAATCGCGAATTAACATTTTTAAACAAGTCAAAAGTAAATTGCAATCCACAAAATATGTGTACTAAAAATGTGTATAAATCAAATACCAATCATCATAATAAAATAATTGAAGCAACTTGTAAGTAAATCAACGGTAACGCAAATACGATTGCAGTATTTATAAATATGAATACAGTATTCAGACACGTTTCGTATCCAAAACAATTACAATTAAAAAGCGGAGTTTTATTTAAATAGCTAAGAATAATACAGTCGTTTGCAACAGTAACAACAAGAAATTTGAAATAACTGTAACAAATATAGATCTATCTTTTCAAGTTGTTGGCGCCGAGGCCAGCGCCTACGGGTGGGTCACTCGATAAACCGATAGGCCTAAATAAACACGGAATCCTAATTTAATTAACCTTTGTGAGCAATCATGGATTTGCGGAGGCATTATTATTGGAGTATCATTAGTTCTACGACCTTTTGACGGTCAATTGAATGTATCCGTAGAACGCTTCGGCATGTTTGGATTGGTACGCTAAGCTGATTCGGCCCGTAAACGGGTCCAATTATATGTGGGGCTGTGATGAAATTAGCGATGCGTTGGCCACCGGCTGTAAGGGCAGCTGCGCTTTTTCTGATTAGATAACAACATTAACAAAGTTATTTACAGGAATTGGAATATTTAGGTTGTAGATCCACTAATAAGTTATGTCAGAATCATTTGTAAGTTACTACCCTTTGCATATGACTGGACTAGTTGACCGGTACGACTTTTTCGCACAGTACCGTGATCAATCTCAGAATGGTAATTTTAATAATATATAAATAACTGTTTATTAATGAAAAGTAACTGGTAAGTAATTAATTTAATTGAAGGTATTCTTTTATTTTAACAATTTGACAATAGATGGGATTATCACACACTCTTCTTAAGAAATTTTTAAACGAGTTTTTTTTGTATATATAGCGGCCATTTTAAGCTTCAATAATTGAATTTAATGAAGAATTATGGAAAACATGGCTTGAAGAAAAAAATACTGTTGAGAAATAATATATAGGGATTGATTGGTAAAAAATCTGGACAAGGCCTGCAATAACTTTTATTCGATGAAAATGGTTTCAATCCTAATTTCTAATTTCAATCAATTTCACTTAAGACTTTACGTTCGCTACAATTACAAATATAGTACGACGCAATGGTCAAATGTCTTCCAAATTAAACAAAAATTTAACTTAACAATGGCGCCCATTTAAAACAAGAACATAAACGACCCGGAGCCACACATAGAAATCAACAAACAATCACGAGATAGAGTAACCAAACAACTGGAAGTAATGGGGTATAATCTACAGAGGAGCATGTGGCATGCTCGCGAACTGTCACTCAGTTGATTAATGAATAACCCTCCCCTTCCGCAGTGGCCGTATCAGATTGTAACAAGCGAGGTTCACTCTCCCATTCTATGTTGGTTTTGAAATTTCCTTAATTATAAGGCGGAATCGTTTGGACACCCCATTTCGAGTCTATGTTCGGTGAGTGGGCGCAGGTTCATTTACTTTGATTGTGTTTGAATTCGGCCCTGTTTCATGTTCGCCTTTCGTTTTGTCTACCGACTTCAAAAAAGGAGGATGTTCTTAATTCGACTGTATCTTTTTTTATGTTTGTTACCTCAGAACTTTCGACTGAGAGAACCGATTTTGATGATTTTTTTTTATTTGAAAGCTGGTGCTTCCCATGTCGCCCATATTAATTTCATTGGTAATGTGGATCTTTGGCTCCGGAGATAGTTAGGGAACTTTGTGAAAACTAATTATAAAATGAATACAGAGCAAGATATTTGAAATCGGCTTTGTTGTCAAATGGATTTCCATTACTGCATACCCCGTTAGGGTGAAACAATGATCACAAGACGAGGTAACCTGATGTGTATTATTGGTTAATTTATTTAGGGAAAGTTAAATGGACAGTGTTCATGGAATTCTAGTACCACACGGTAGCTTGTTTTTCGATTTCTTTTCTTTTTTATAAGAAGAAAACTGCACCACGAACTAGATGTTATATCTCTAAAGATCAGCAATATAAGCATTTAGTTTGGTATTTAATGAGCTATTAAATAAATCGATTGCACTAGCTATTACTATCTACGATAATCTTGCGTCATACATTCAATTGAATATCGGTGGAAAATCTCTGTAATAAAATATAATAATGAAGAATGCCTTTCGGTCAATTAAGCCTCAATGAAATTGGATAAAAAATTTTAGTCAGTTATAACGGCACTTAAATACTAGAGCGAATGTTAATTAAAAACGAAATTGAATAGTTCTTTGTGAAAACATGTTCGCGAAATTAATGTACTACGTGTATACACAGCTCCTCGGCCGTGCATGATATTTATATTGCATACTTTATTAAATACTTACTTCATTATAATACGCATACTTTATTTAATCTAATAGGTATTTAATAAAATTGAGTAAGATTTTATTGAGTCGATTTTATTTGATCCATTAGATGAGATGGAAGTTAGTATGTAGTCAATATAAAGATTTCTTTTATAATAGAAAGATTTCCCTTTAACTTTTTAAATTAATTTTTTCTCACTTTAGCATACAGATTCGCTCTAGCTACATAATTATGTGATATTTCTGATAAATCTAGCCCAAGTGTTGCTGCAATGGCTAAAATGACTCTTAATCTACGTATCCCGTTAATTCCAGGAGGCTTTATCTTACGCATAGCATTCGATCGGTAAACTAC